ATCACGGTATCACGGTATTGTCGTTACAGCTCTAAAATGTGTTATTTTTTTAAATGACTGGGTAAAAAAAAATAATTGTTTCCGCTGAACACAATATATTTTGTTTTTGAGCAACATACAGAATATTAGGAACAGTAGAATGTTTAATGTTAGTGGTTTTGAAACCGTGAGATTTTCAAATCACGGTATACCTTGAAACCGGTAATCGGCCCATGCCTAGTTGAGTTAATGTTTTTTTTTGCCAAGCTTTTCTCGACTTCACAAAGCAGCACTTCCTGACAGCCTATTTGAAGCAAACATCGCCCCCACATCAGCTCAGCCAATTAAATCCAAGATACATTGTCAAATAAGACACACGCCGTATCAATGCAACAGCAAGCATTTCACAATGACCTCTGTGTGACCTATCACAGACGGATAAATAGCAATTAAAAGCAGACAGTTGCTTTCTCAGGTCCTCTGCATAGTCGCGTTCAAACCCGTCACCTTGATTGGGTCACAGGTCACAGCTCATCCTAAGACATCATGCCAGTTTGAGGTGACTGCAAGGTCAAGTCCAGTCTAGTGTTATTTATTCAGCTCTGATGTTTGACGGTCTGATTCATTAGGATTTACAAACTTAGCAATGGCGTGACGACATGGCCTCCTCGCATGGCTGGTTGTGCAAATTGCAATCGTTTGCAAGCCGCTAGTTCTAAGTTGGTCCAGAGGGGCGGCAGTCGTCAGGGCATGGGGACGCGGGTTGATTTATGTCACTGCGCGTTTGCAGATTAAAAACACAGCACACCCCTTGGGAATCTATGTTTATGTGTAAAGTTTTCACCCTCTGCGCTTGAATACCACGTCAGAAAACACACACGTGGGGCGAGTAAAATTGCTCAACTCCCTCTCTAAGGCCTTAAAGAATAATGAAGGGAGGAAAATCAATATATCAGCCATCAGAATGTCATGTGTGAGAAATTTCTCTCTCTCTTTCTCATCTTCATGATGGCCGGAGAGAACTCTTTCATCATATGCTTTTAATTTCACTCTTTTCTCCGTTCCAGTCCAGAGCTCCCAGAACGCCAGTGACTGCATCTGTCCTCTCTTTCTCTCACTCTCTCCCCCTCTCCTTCCTTTCCCTCCCTTCTGTGTTTATGGTTGGACCTCAAAAGCTAATCCAGTCATGTTGCTCTTTTGACACCATAATGCTTATTCACTCTAGCTGGAAAACATCACAGACCTGTTAGAAACAGAAGTATATTTATATATGGGGTTGGTAAGATTATTTTTTGAAAGTCTCTTATGCTTACAAGGCTAGTTATTTGATCAAAAATACAATATTATATATAAACACACACACACACACACACACACACACACACACACAATGCACAAATGCCAGAGAACTATCCTCATGAACATGAAATTAATAACATGAAATGAATTCATAAAAGCAAATACCTACTAAAAATAGTTACTTCATTACCCTAAATTTTTGTGCAGATAAATAATTATATGATTGATAAATGTTTAAACAGATAATTGTTTACAGTTTTCAAAGTGTTAATTTATTACATTGGCACATTTACATAATTTCATACAATATAAAATTAATAACATTTATTAAATAATTATAAACACACACACACACACACACACACACACAATGCACAAATGCCAGAGAACTATCCTCATGAACATGAAATTAATAACATGAAATGAATTCATAAAAGCAAATACCTACTAAAAATAGTTACTTCATTACCCTAAATTTTTGTGCAGATAAATAATTATATGATTGATAAATGTTTAAACAGATAATTGTTTACAGTTTTCAAAGTGTTAATTTATTACATTGGCACATTTACATAATTTCATACAATATAAAATTAATAACATTTATTAAATAATTGTTTTTTTAATCTATGAAAAATTGTAAAATAAAAAAGTATAAAAATAAATGCTGCTGTTTATTAAGAGTCTCATATCCCTTTAATTGGTAAACTGACAAATTAGAATGATGTCTTTGTTTCCGATGAATGTATCTGCAATAGGGAGGAAAAAAACTGTTTGTGAATAATGCAACAGATGAAAAGAGTGACTTTCAAATTAATCTAAAATATGAAGTTATTGAAGCACCTCAAAACAAGCCAAAGACTGAAAGACATCAAGGCCATATATAAACTGAAGTGAGAACATGGAACGGGGCTTTTCATTAAATTTTAAATGTTTTATTGTTCATAGTCTAGATGGCAGCATGCTTTGTTCCTTTTGTTTACTGTTGAGTTAATGAAAAAAAAGATTATACTGAGTAGTTAATTATCAAGACTATTAAGAGATATCAGGAGAATAGCATCTGTGTACAGAAGCATAATTATCAAAAAAAAAAAAAAAAGAAAAAAACCTACTACAAAGAAACAATGCTGTTTTAGTTTAAACAATATTTAGTTTTTCTTTATAAAAAATCAGTATAAGTTAAAGTATAAAAAGTAGAACCACCATGATGTAAGCTTACAATTGCACAAATATACTTATGCAATTATTCAAAAAATATATGTATTAATATTCTCCAGCGTCTCCTCGTCACTCGTGTGTGTGCACCCGTGACATAATATCAATTTACATACCTTTCTACCCAGGAAATTCCCTCAGAGTCTCATGTGCATTTAACCCTGTGTTACCTGATCAAATGCACCAAAAAGAGTCTGTATTTTAAACCAAACACCCTCTCAAAAGGATCCGTATTATTTGTTATCTAAACGCTTTCATTTTCATTCTAATGATTTCCCTATCTGAGACCTAATCTAAAGCTTTTCCTCTATCAGTACCTCCATCTCACTTATAAGAGTCTGTTGAGGAGAAATTCCCTCTCATTCTGTACAAGTGTGTGTGTGTGTGTGTGTGTTTTGTATTCAAATCGCAGGCTGTTTCTGGGTCTGCTGTGGGCCTCTGGGAGGGAAGATTGGGTTGTTGGGAGATGGAGAGATGAGAGAGGAGATGAATATTGAGGGACAGATTCAAATGGGTGTGATAAGCCTCCGGCCAGGGAACGGAGGAAATTAATTTGCTTAATTAGCACATTTGTTCCAATTAAAGCCCCATGAACATGGATCGCCACAATGCCACGCCCACCAACTAAGACCCTCAAAGGACAATACAGATAAATTCTGATGTCACGCTAACTGAACCTCTTTCCAAACATCCTTTGAAGGCACAGTCCACCATTACATTGGTTATACAGGCCTGCGGGAGTTTCCAAGGACACTACAGCTTTGAGAGCCCACAGGACATCAGGACTCTCTGGGGATCTGAAAGATAAAATCTGAGAGCACATTCTAAAGATGGATGTTAATGTATTGAGAACTTCATAGAAACAGAAAAAACCCTGAAAAAAAGTTCTGCTTAAAGAGGTCATATGATGCGATTTCAAGTTTTCCTTTCTCTTTGGAGTGTTACAAGCTGATTGTGCATAGATAAGATAACACTTGTCAACTGAAACACTTCACCAGTGTTTTAATTAACTCACTAAAATGCATCCTATATACTGTATAGGTGCTTCTTCATATTTGGCCACTTTTGACATTGTGTACTTTCAGAAAATAAACTCTCTTCCGGATAATTTTTCACACTCTTATTAGTTTAATTAGTTTGACAGTGTCCAAGAATGAATATACATGCATTGCTGGAAAATAATGTAAATTTGCTTTGATGTGTTTATTTACATCACACATTTCATATTTCATCTCAAGCTTTTCATCTACACTGTTGTCTCCTTGGTAACCAATCATTTTGTAAACAAAAAAAAAACACTTTCAAAAAAATGTCTAACAATAAATATGGTTGAAAAATAAAATAAATGGTTATAAAAATATTTATGATTATTTCTCTTTTTGGATCATAATTTTAAAAATGTAATAAGTCATATTTCTATTATAGATTTTCATATTTCACATGATTTATTCACACATCATTTACTCGCCCTCATGTTGCTCAAACCTGTATGACTTTATTTTTTCTGTGAAACAAAAAAGAAGAAAATGAAAAATATTTTTTAATTTTGCAATGAATGTCAAAAGGATCCAGTGATGTTTTGGACCCCATTACCTTTTACTATTTGGTCAAAGTTGAAACATTGTTCACAATATCTTTTTATGTTCCACAGAAGAAATTGTCATACAGATTCAGAACGATATGATGGTAATTTAATGATGACACTTCTTTTTTCAGGTGAAGTTTTTTAAGTCTGGTACAAGTGTACTACATCTACAGTATACACAAAACATTTGAAAAGCAGTAAAATAAATGATGAAGGCTTGGTGAAATATTTTCATGCCAAAACAGTTGACCCAAAACAGAAAAAAACCCATAATATATTTGTTAGTTTTGATTAAAAACAACTACAACATATAAAAGAACCCAAAATTGACGAAACACCCACATTACGAGATAAATCAGCAACATCCACAACAAACCCATAATATAACACAGACAATGATGTGAATGCACAGATAAACTTGAAATAAGTTACATACTAGGTAATACTAGTATTCTTTTTTTTGTCCCTGATCCCTCCGTCGCAACAACTATATCCCTCCGTCGTAATACTAGTATTCTAATCTACATACTAAAGCTTGACCAAGACACATTTTTGTAAGTGTAAGTGTAAAAATAAACACTGCTGACATTTGCCGCCATTAAGGATTTTCATAATGCAGTCAATCATGTTGTTAAGTTGAGACGTTCCAGAGGCCAACAACATGGACAAACTTTCCGGGTTGCTATGTCTAAAAAAACAGGCTCATTCTCAACACTGAATATGGCACATCCCTAACAGGTCAATCCAATTAGCCCTGAAACGGGTACAACACCTCATAACATCGTCATTCTGGGCAAAAACCACCCTTTAGATTTACATTCATTTAGAAGGAGAGTGAAAGTGACAAGAAGGCAATTACAAAAGGAGGTCTTGTCCGGGTTTGTTCCATCCAACTCAATTAAGTTCCAGTTTCATTAAAGTCCCTTTGCATCACTTTGCTTCAATCAAGTCTGTGGTCCCTTACGAACGTTACGGTGACTTTCACCGAATCACATTAAAGAAATGAACTTTCTAAATCCAACTGCGCTATTTCGGATGTGAGGGTAGAACGGGCCGGATGTGTCCTTCCTTCTCATCCTACTCTTGACAGCACAGGCCGTGCCATGTTTATTGCTGAATAATTACATTTTAAGCACTTTAAATGACTTTGCTTCATCAGACTGCATGATTAATTGCATCGCTGGATGAGGATTGTGAAGTTAATATGAGCTTAATGATCGGTCTGGTCTTTCAAAGTTATTGAGAGCCTTTTTCTCTCATCTTAGCTGTGAGTAATCTGCATGAACTTTACTTTGACAGTTAATATCGCACTTTCATTTCCTTGTTGGTGTAATTGTTTTAATTATGTTACGTTCATTATTCAACAGGGATGATCTTATAGCTCCAGGGAAATGATATTTTCTAAACAGGTTTCCATTCAAGCGGGGAATAAATAAACGACAAGGATGACATATGCCAAAATAAACAATGACAAAACTGTTACGAGCCTGTGACCTTTCGCAAATGTCTTTAGAAAAAAGAAAAGGAAAAAAAAACTCAAATACAAACGATTTAATCAAGCTTTCACATTTCACTGCCAGAATCAAGAGCAAAATAATTAACCCGTGTGAAGCACAGAGGTGGCTTGTCAGCCATGACCTGCCAACACTCTCCGAGCCCTTGTTCAATTTCCAGTCTCAGCCAGACTTGTGTCCCGTCCAAAGATGGTATCAGCCAGCCAATGGGGGAGCCATCCTGGCTCATATGTCTACCAGTGGCAGAGTTCTTCGGCTTGACCTTTAGACTTTGAGCAGCAATGATTACAGAGGGAGCATTTAACTGCCAACCTGTAATCCCCAGCGACAAACCCTTCTGGCACAGAGACCTCTGGACCCGGATCTTGCCTCGGTCTCAAACATTGCCTAAGCCTGACTATCCTTTTCAGCAGCAGCGCCATGTTGGCTCTGGTAACTATTGATTAGCTGTAGTGATGGTGCACAGCTGCTTCCCTCCAGATCACAGACGGCAGTTCACCATACAGCCATTTTGGATCTGTTTCCAACATGACAGATGGCACGAGTTGAAAAGGTTTTTTTTTTCAAAGCTGATGTTGAAATGTGGTGTCCTAGTTTAAGTATTGCTTGTTCTGAAACTACTACAAAGAACACGGAGTGGCATAAAAAACAAAAACAAAGAAACAAGGAATCTGTCAGCAGCCTCAGAGAGACAGACACAGCAGTATCACTTATCATCTCACTAGAATGTGGGGGATGATAATAATATGACACTGGGTTTATGAGAAGCAATTGCCAGTTTGATTTCCACTAAGCACATGGATATCCTCCTAAGCCCGTCACAAAACTCTGTAGGAGGTTCGATATTATACACTTGGAGTCACTGAGATGAACCTGAGAGTGGTTTCTCAGAACACTTCTTTGATGCTCACAAAATTCAGTATCACTTCTTGCTGCAAACTAGAATGCAGATTCCAAAGTTACAACAAAAACAGAGACAAGAAGATAGATAGATAGATAGATAGATAGACAAACTGCTGCTTCACCCTATTCCCAGGAGAATGAGTTTTCTTAGGACAGTGGACAGCAGTTCAGAGGGTTAGGATGGGATTTGCTCTGCATTATTCAAAGTCTGTGTTCTTCTCTGAACTGGCATTCATGCATATAAAACAAAAGGCATTGCGAGTGACCCAGCAAGTGGAAGACGAGGGGCCTACAGTAACACACACTGTCCATTTGAGCTAAATCTTTTATCTCTTGCTGGAACAAAGCAACATGGGGCAGTTCTTGTTTCGAAAAGCACATATTATTCAGGACATATATAAGGAAAAAATATAGAAGGAAAGGAGAAAGTTCTTAAAAGAAACACAAAGCATCCCCTAAGTTAATGTAATGAGAAGGTGCTTGGTTAAAAAAAAACCTGGAAAATCAACAGAAACATGTAAATGCACTGCAAATTCTGCGCCGAGCATGCAAATGCACTTTTGAATATATCACCGTTCCAGAACCCTGACTACGATAATGATAATGCACGCACCGGTGCTCGCTCGCAAAAACAACCCCACTCATCCCTAATTCGAGGGAAAGCATGCTTATCAAATGCCTATAAGGCAAGATACAAACAGTGCACTGAATGTCAACCTCGACTGATTGATTTGTCCCTTTTAAATTCTGCTCAATAGAATGAACACTCACACATCCAGACAGGTAGAGGGCGATATGGCGCACTCACCTCAGCTGCAGGCACTCCATCGGGTGGGCGGCAGTGGAGAACGATCATGCCGTTGATCGGCACTTCCATACCCTGCGGCTCCTGTTCGAAATTTTTCCTTAGGTCTATATGGAAACCAAAAGAACACTGGTAGCATGTAGCTGCTACGTTATTAGCTAAATCAAGTAGATATTTTTTGTTCAAACAATTTGAATGATGATTTAAATGTGATGTGTGTATTCAATATTAGCATATTCTACCTTTCAGTGCAACTAAAAGTAAGGTCTGAACTGATATTCCATACATGAATGTTAATGCAAACAATTCTAGAGTCTCACTACCAGCATTAGCATAAAATGGCTTCTACAGTAAAATTCTCTTGCAGGTCAACTAATGTCATTAGCTAATGGGATTCAAATAATGCCATTATTTAAGGGTGGTACTATCCAGTGTTATTAATTAAAATTAAACCTAAAAATAAAAAAATAAAAAAAAATTAAAAAGGTAATTGAAATAAAACTAAAATAAAATAAATATAAATGTAAAATGTTATACAAACGAAAACGAAAAATAATTCAAAAATTTAAATTAAAATGAAAATAAAAAAAGCTAATTCAAAATATTAATTAATACCATAATTGTATTGACTGATGACGAGCCTGGGTGCTCGAAACGTCACCTGTGTCATAGTCTGTTATACATTTTTTGTATTTTTAAAGGCTAGGAGTGCCGACTTTTTTTTCATTACCATAATTGTATATAAATAATAATAAAATAATGCTGGTTTAATCTTTGCAGTAACACAAGGCACAAGAGTTAGAGGAACCCATTTGGAAAGTAATTTACAGTATTTTTAATTCCATTTGGTGCTGTAAAAAAAAAAAAAAAAACTAGCCATTTCGTATAAATATTATAAGAAAAAACTGTAAGAATTCCAAAGTGGAAAGTTATTTTTGAAAAAAACGGGCTATGATTATACTGACATGCAATGCGGACGGTGGCTTTGCGACTCTTCGAGGTGCCCAGATGACTCCAGGCCACACACAGACACCAGTAGTCCTCTGGTCCGTGGAAGTCCTCCACCTGCTGTCTGGACACATTTATCATCACTTCCCGGATCTTCAGCCCTGCACGGAAAGGAAAAATGGAAGGGCTAAGAATGAAAAAGAGACACAATCCACATTTTATGATGGCTACAGTCTTTGAAAATCAGTACTAACTAAAGGTAGCGATGCTTTGAACTTAACTGCCTTTTGCAGCAGCTCAGCTGTTTCCAAAACAATGCAGCTTTTCCAGTAATGAGTTACTTTTTTCGAAAAAAAAAAAAAAAACGCAGTGTAACTTGTTAAAATGTTTTATACCACATTGTTTGCACAGCGAACTGAATAATCAAAGCGTTTTCCTAAACGCTTCTCTCTCTCTCTCACGATTCACTGATTCCAGGCTCTGCGCACAAGTCCCTGTGAGCCATTTTATGTCTTTTTGAAGCAAAATATTTAGTTAAACTGTTGTTCATCCCTATTTTTGACTCTGCAATAGAATTTGACATATTTTCTAGTTTTATTTGTGTATTAAGTGTACATTTTTTCTGTGCACATTTAATAGTCACTCTAATTGAGATTCCCAATGAGATTTTTGGTCCCTGATACACTACATACATACTGCTCTGACTGATTGAAATAAATAAATCATCAAATAGTTATACATTTAAAAAGACCTTAAATGTAATTGAACTCTAAGCTATGAAAATCTTACAGCATGAAAAGTTTCAAAGTAGCTTTAAATGGAGTTAAACAAATAGCAGACACTAAAATTAAAAGCCAGTTAAGCCATATTCCCTCAGAGGGTTCGAAATAAACAGCCCTGCTTTTACCACACATCTATCGTAATGCTCTAATGTTCATTTAATTCCAATATTGCATAAGACCATTTGGGTCTAGTTTGTGTTTAATGAACTCTCCAAACCCTTGTGGTTCTTGCAAGAACCACGACCAGGTAACAGATTAAAGAGCATAAATGGTATGAGTCAGAAAGCAGGATTATGGGAATTATAATAATGCACATCTTCCTGTAGAGACTTTTAAAAACACTCCCCAGGCTCCTCTTCAACCATGCTACTCTCTTCCCAGACTGCTCTATAATGTATTCTTCCTGTCATAAGCCTAATTTTAGTACTGTTGTCGTGCCGACCAAACATTAAATTATGCAGGAAGTGTTTGAGATTGTGGATTACACTCTTCTCACAGTCAATGCCCAGAAAGCTTTGCAAAATGCAACCAAAGTATACGAGCCAGGGCAACGGTGAGTGTCGAGGCAAGACGCGCACCGCAAAAGAGAGACCCGATATATGAGAGTGAGTTAATGGTTACAAAAGTGAAAACATTTTAAATGAAACCATTCTGTGAATTAGAGACACAATTATGTTAAGGGTGAGCGGAGGGAGAATTACGACTATGAAACTCTGTCGCAGACGGTGGCGTTAATGCGAGCCTCCGTGTGGGTCTCTGTGGGTGTATTTGCTCTGCTGAGCGAAAATGAGACTCATCTTTAATGATATTAAGGTAAGCAATGGAAAATCAATTTGAAATTGCTCAGTCCGAGAAGCACGCTTGGCTGTGAGATATGAGCAAAGAGAGGGAGAGAGAGACAGAGACAGAGAGAATTTGAAATGAAAAGGGTATTGCTAAATAACGGGAGACTGAGTCAGGTCAGGACTCTAAGCATAATCCTTTAAATCTGAATGATTATCTTTCAAACAGGTCTGTGGGGAACAGAACAAGACTGACAGAACAGAAACTATGATTCCTGTGCCAAAAGGAAGAGAAAAGACAGCAGCAGCAGCGGTGGTGGCAGAGGCAGACAGTATTGCCAGATCGGGTGGGCGGTTTCCAGCCCAAAAGCTCACCAAAACCTGCCCGATTAAAAAAAAACAATTTTTTTTAAAAATAATAATTTGATAATAATTTAAAATGTGAATAATTTTATTGCCAGGTCAATCAAGTTTGATAAGGACCATTTTTAACTCATTTAAAAAATAAAGATAACAAAATAACATAAAAAAGATACATTTCCCAGATATGATGTTTTATTAACAAGGTTCGGGAGGAGCACGATCAGATAATCAATCAGTCTGACCCAGGTGGAGCTCGTCAGCTAATCACCTTAACAAGCACAATACGTGTATATATATACAGCCACCTTGCCTCAGTTCCACGACAGTTTTCCAGCATCCCGCCTCCAACCCAACACCTCACTAATAATCTAATTTCATCCCATTCTTGGGATGGGGGGCGTTCTCTGGGTTCGGGCTTTAACCCGAGCTCGGAGCCCTCCCTCTGGACAGCACGCCAAATATGCTACTAATTGCTCAATCACATTATATGTTAGTGCGAACTCGTGAAATGTATATTCACAGGATAATGCGACAGTGTTGAATATACGGCCTGCAAAGAAAGCTCCTGTGGATAATACGAAATGAAAATACTTGTAGAGCTGCACTTAGGATTATACATACTGAAAGTGAGACCTCTAAATGACTTGGCAAAATAACCTGTACAAATCAAGGAGGTCTTTAATACCAGGAGAAAAATGTCTGTTCATTCCTATTTATCTCATTGGCAGTTGGCAATGCTCAACCATCTTTGCTCATGGTCTCTCAGTTCTGCTGCCAGGATGTTTTGAGCCAATCACTTGAGCTGTAAATGTAATGTGAATACTGATATTAGTCCTTTTATTCAGGAAGGATACATTAAATTGATCAAAAGTGACAATAATGACAGATTTCTCTTACGAATAAAATATGAACTTCCTACTCAAAGAATCCTGAAAAAAAGCATCATGTTTTCCACAAAAATATTAATCAGCACAACACTGTTTTTAATGTTCATATTAAAGTCATATTGAGTTACCATCGTTGTAAACCCGAAGAAGTTTGAATTGGTATTGTTTTATTTATAAGTCTATTTGTGGTCTAACTCCATCTTATCTGTCTCTGAGTTTTTCTAAATCAAAGGTATGCTACAAACTATGTTCAAACGATCTGTTATATTTTAAAGTCCCTCAGGTTCGAACAGAGCTAGGGAAAAAGGGTTTTGGATATAATGCTACTTTGGCTTGGAATAAACTACAAAACATTCTAAAGCTGACTGTGTTTCCATCATTACATGAATTTAAGCTACTTTTAACAAGCTGTGTGTTTTATCCTTTGGTGAATTGTTGTTGTGATCTTTGATTTGTGTTTTGTGTTATGATGTAAACTTGTATATACTATGTTATTTGTTGCTGCTTTCTTGGCCAGGTCACTCTTGCAAAAGAGATGTTAATCTCAATGAGTTTTTAACTTGGTTAAATAAAGAAATGAATATTAATAATAAATGCTTCAGCATGCTCAAATGCTTGAGCAGCAAATCAGCATTTTAGAATGATTTCTGAAGGATCATGTGACATGTACTGAAGACTGGAGTAATGGCTGCTGAAAATTCAGCTTCGCCATTTCAAGAACAGATCACTTTTTATAATATATTAAAATAGAAAACTGGTATTTTAAATTGAAATAATATTTCACAGAAATTACTGTATTCTTTATCTAATAAATTATCAAAATATTTTCAGAATAATAAAATACAAGCTATGACAAGGTATTCAAAACAAACAGGCACTGGTACAACATTTAATATTCTATAATAAAAAAATAAACCAGATGGTGTAGTTACTAAAGGCCTAAATTTACCAATTGCCAAATTGGAGTAAATAAATAAATAAATAAAAAAGGGACAATAACATTTTATTACTTTACTAGGAACTTCTGGTTTAAATTGCTAGAATAATTTGTAGAATAACATCTAATAATGACGGAAATGTTTGTGTCAATTTCATTGTTCTAAAAACAAAAAAATTTATAAATATATATATATAATAAAAAAACAAATAAACAAAAAAACAGGCAAAATATAGAATCATAGCCTGTAAGAAATATTTATGGCTGGTACATTTTCTCAATTCATTGCTATTGGCAAGAAGATATGTACACACCACCTCAGATACAGATTCTGTCGCATCCAATTTCGCCCCCGGGGATGCAGCCAAGAAACTGGAACCTTCCAGCGCTCGTCCACAGATACTCAGAGGAATCGAGACGCTCAAGCCAAGTTTGGAACTAAATGACAAGACGAATGATTTCTGAAGGATCATGTGACATGTACTGAAGACTGGAGTAATGGCTGCTGAAAATTCAGCTTCGCCATTTCAAGAACAGATCACTTTTTATAATATATTAAAATAGAAAACTGGTATTTTAAATTGAAATAATATTTCACAGAAATTACTGTATTCTTTATCTAATAAATTATCAAAATATTTTCAGAATAATAAAATACAAGCTATGACAAGGTATTCAAAACAAACAGGCACTGGTACAACATTTAATATTCTATAATAAAAAAATAAACCAGATGGTGTAGTTACTAAAGGCCTAAATTTACCAATTGCCAAATTGGAGTAAATAAATAAATAAATAAAAAAGGGACAATAACATTTTATTACTTTACTAGGAACTTCTGGTTTAAATTGCTAGAATAATTTGTAGAATAACATCTAATAATGACGGAAATGTTTGTGTCAATTTCATTGTTCTAAAAACAAAAAAATTTATAAATATATATATATAATAAAAAAAACAAATAAACAAAAAAACAGGCAAAATATAGAATCATAGCCTGTAAGAAATATTTATGGCTGGTACATTTTCTCAATTCATTGCTATTGGCAAGAAGATATGTACACACCACCTCAGATACAGATTCTGTCGCATCCAATTCCGCCTCTGGGGATGCAGCCAAGAAACTGGAACCTTCCAGCGCTCGTCCACAGATACTCAGAGGAATCGAGACGCTCAAGCCAAGTTTGGAACTAAATGACAAGACACTTGAGTGTGACTGCTCGGACAAAGTGCTGCCATGGAGGAAACTGTTTCACTGGAGGCACCGTTGACTTTAAATAAACCATATAAATCATCATTTCAGGCCCCGGACAGAGACAGAGTGTGTGTGTACAGACAAAGGAAAGCAGAAAACAGTAAAGCATGACTAACGATTATGAATGTGTGGCATATGGAGAACGCTAAAGTTGA